ACGAGGGTTCGCTGGCTGTGGCCACCCCGGCTGTGCCGGCTCAGTTCCCTGTCCGGACCCGGCTCGGACAGGGTTGGAGGGTCTGGGCTTTGCTGGGATCGCGGTTACAGAGGCTCCGCAGCATCTCCGGCTCTCCCCGATGCAGACACGCGCTGCCGGTGCCGGCACAGCGGCGAGCGGTGCCCGCCGAGCCCCCCCGGGCCCGCTCCACACGCGGGACGGACACGAGTGGGGAACACGGGCGGCTAAAGCACGGGGGGAGCGGGGCCAGCGCTGCAGTCTCCACAGGCTGCTCCGGGTCCGGCCCGAGCCCCGCAGGCCCCGGACTCCCCGCGGCACCGACCGACCGCTCCCGGGACAGGCCCGGCCGGGGGCCGCGTCCCCACCGAACCCCCCAGCCCGGCCCGAGCGGGCCCGCGGCCCCCGCCCACGGAGGGATCGGGCCGGGGGGGAGCAAGCCGCGGACCCGGAGTGGAGCGAGCCGGCGGCCCTTACCTGTGCTCGGGGGTCGCGGGGGGTTCCGGGGGTCCCGGGGGCTCCGGGGCTCAGGCTCCCGCCCGGCCGCCGCCGCCTGGCGCCGCTTCCGGGTCCGCCATGTTGGAAGGGCCACAGAGCTTCCGGGGAAAGGGGCGGTGGCACCGACAGAGAACCGGGAGTGGGCAGCGGGGGAACGGGAGTGCCGGGCCCGGGGGCAGCGGGGGAACGGGAGCGCCGGGCCCGGGGGCAGCGGGGGAACGGGAGCGCCGGGCCCACGGACGGCGGGGGAACGGAAGAACTGAGCCCAAGGCAACCGGGCCAGGCCGCGGTGCGGAAAGCAGGAGAGGCAGGGCTCGGGACCCGGTCTCGGCGGTCTCGACCCCGAACGGGCAGCAAGGCCCGCGGCTCCGGAGACCGGCATAGGCCCGGGGCCGAAGGAGCCCCTGAGGTACGGGGAGCCTCCGGGGCCTCCTCTCTCCTGTCCGGCCCCTTGCCCCCGTTAAAGGAGCGGGCTCTGTCCCCGGAGCGGCGGCTCCTGTACGTGTCGACACGCCTCGATCCTGCAGCCTTTGCACCAGTGTGGATCTGGAGTGCTCACCTTGCGTCCCACATCCATCCACCCATCCATCCATCCATCATCCATCCATCCGTCCCTCCATCCATCCATCCATCATCCATCCATCCATCCATCATCCATCCATCCATCATCCATCCATCCATCATCCATCCATCCATCCATCATCCATCCATCCCGGGATGGGATGGAAATGGGAGGCAGCCTTGCCTGTGCACACATCAGCACCTGCCTGCAGCCTGAGCAGTCTGTCCAGTCCTTTTCCTCTCAAAAGGAAATTCCTCACTTTCACTCCCTGCAGGACAGGGGCAGCAGCTCAACCCACAGAGGTCACAGGAGAGCTGGAAACACTCAAACCCTGAGCAGCTTCCAAGGATTCTGCCCGCTCCCATGCCCGAGTCCTGCTGTAGGAATGAATTGAATCACAGGGCTGGAGAATGACCTGCTCTGGCCGCTCTGGGCTCCTCACTCATTTTACCACACTGGCCTTTTAACATTTTTAATTTCCCGTTGCTTGCATTGGATTCATGCCACCTTTGCAGTCCCAGGATAGGAACAAAATCCCAAGGGGTCTCACAAAAGCCTCCCAGATGGGTCTGTTTTTACACCAGCACAGCAGCAGCCAGAGGGAACCGATTTATCCCCAGGAAGGGAAGTGCTGGCAGATGGGAACCACGTTAACACCGGGTCCTTGGGAATACTGCGTTCGTGCCAGAGGCAAAAGGGGAACCAGGAAGATCTGTAACAGCCATGTGGGGCTCAGCCCCTTTCTCCCTCTGCTAATCCTGCTGCTCCCAGGCTTCATTCATTTGCACACAGTAATTAATCAAGGCAATTTATTTTTCCAACATATCCTTCTTTTAAATCCACCCCCCACCAGCTCTTTATTTGGTGTTACACAAATACAAATAAATAAATACAGAGGGATCCATCCAGCACCAAACCCACCTCCTCCCAGAACCACCAAACCTGGATTTCCTCCTCCTCGCATCCCAGCCTGGATCCCAATTCACACAGGAAACCCCAAGACGGGGATGAAGCAGAAGTGATGCTGGGCTGGGCTGGGAGCACTGGGTCTGTCCTGTGCCTGCACTAGTGGGAGGTGTGGGGACATGGCTGAGTTGTGTCCTGGTCTGTTTGCTCCACTACAGCAGCAATGTCCCTGAAAAACAGCCTGGCTTCTCCAGGAACAGGCCTTCCCAGGCAGCTGGTCCCTGTAAGACACCCAGTCTTAGGAATCGGGGACAAAGGTGGGAGTTTTGGAGCCCTGATCCCATGGGCTCTGCCGCAGAGCAGCTCCACATCAGGGTGTGCACGGCTGCTATCACCCGCTGCCAGTTCCTGTATTTTCCCAGAGCCTGGAAATCCCCTGACTTTCCGTGGGGTGAGGGGTTCAGAGCCCTGCTGCCAGCTGGCCCTGTGCCCCCGGAGCTGCGGGAAGAGGCAGCCAGGGGACAGACCCTGCCCTGTGCAGGGTCCCGGCAGAGCTGGGCTGGGGCTGGGGCCGTGCAGGGGGCAGGGATGGGACCTGGCAGGGGCCATGCTGAGATGCCAGGGTCCCACAAAACCATCCTGTGTCTGGACAGACCTTTCTGTGCCCCCTCAGCCAGGTTGTGTGGCACATAAGGTGAGGGGCACAGTGGGAGCTGTGCTGCTGCACTGCTCTGTATGCCATGAGCTTGGCAGGTCTCAGCTGGTTCCCCTGGCTTGTGACCTCCTCACTGGAGGGGACAATGCTGGTGCAAACATTTGGGAAAACCCAAGAGCTTCTGGCTTTGCCTGATGCACTCACAGGCCCAACAGGGGACAGGACTGGGTGCTCAGGGGTTCCTGGGGACACTCCATGTGAGTCCCTGGCTTGCCTTGCTCCAGTGGCCCACTCCTGGAGAGCTGAGCAGGATTTTCATTTTCGGGGGGGATTGTTCTGCCACCCTGGTGGGAGAGGAATGGGATGGACAGGGAGCAGAGTGTGGAGTGCCAGGAGCTCCTCCAGCCACTCCTGCCCTCCCACTGCTGGGAACACCTCAGGAAGGGGATGCACAGCACTTACCAGAATTTGGGGGATGGGTTCCAGCACTTTGGACTCAGTGCCAAGACTGGAATAAATCACCAGGGGCCAGGCACTGTCATGACATAAGCCTTTGAGGGAGGGAAAAGCGGCGCTAATGGGAGTGGAGGGCTCGGCAGGGCAGCCCCTCTTTGGAGCCCTTGGAACCTCCTGACACTTCACAGGCTCAAATTCCTTGAACAATCAGCCCTGTAGCATCTCTGTGCTCTGACCCTTTGGGAACCCAGGGGCCTCTGACCTTGCTCAGGCTCAGGGCTCTCCCACCTGTGCTTTGGGTTCCGTGCAGTGCCAGCAGCTCTCGTGGAAAGGAACAACTTACAGATTTGTCCTGCCCTGCCTCAAAATAACTGCTCAACTCTTGGAGCCGGTGCTCCACATTGCAATCCCAGCCGAGTCTGGCTCCATCCCCTTTGCCAAAGGGTTTGACCCTCCGGCACAGCGGGGCTGGAGGCGGCTGCAGGGGCATCGTGGTTCCCCTCAGCTGGCACTGCACAAACCTGATGTGCCAGCACCGGTTCCCGGTGTTCCCAGGGGGAGCAGACATGGCACGAGCTGGAGCTGTCGTACCACAACCCCCCGGGCTGGGCAGGGGATCCGGAGTCCAGTGAAACCGGGAGGAGACCCTTGTAACGCCACTGCAGGGAGAGAGCAGTGCAGCCTAACCCTTACGAGCCAGCCGAGGATCCCCGCAGAAGCGTCTCTGCCGTGGCCGGGGCCGTGAGGCGGCGCCGACAGGAGCCCGTTCCCTCGGGCCGTGCTGCGGTCCGGCCGGGGCGCTGGAGCCGGGCGCCGTTATTTTGGGGATGTCCCCGTTATTTTGGGGATGTCCCCGTTATTTTGGGGATGCCTCGCAGCTGCTTGGCTGGACTTACACAGTCCTGTGGACTTACACAGCCACAGGACGGGATGAGGCGCAGCCGGAGCTGAGAGGAACGGCGCGGGCTGGGGGGCACCGCGGGGAGAGCGGGTTTACCCCAAACCCGAAGCGGCTGCAGCGCGGCCCAAGCGCGGCGGGCGGACCGCGAGGGCGGCGGGGCAGGGTCGGCTCCCGGCCAGGCCCCGTCTCCATGGCACCCGTGTGCCCTTTGCCCTTCGCCCTTCACCTCCCACTGCCCCGCCTCCGGCCAGTTGACGGACAGCTCTCGTAGCCTATAGCAGTGCGCCGCCGCCTTCAGCCCCGCCCTCACTGGCGACGGATATTATTTACTACCTATCATAGTTGAATTTTACATCAAGCTCCGCCTCTACATTTGACTGACAGCTCAGTTAACCTATCCTCTAGCCTTGTCCCCGGCCCGAGTGGGTGGGCGGGTTGCTTGTAACGAACCAACCGAAACTCGACGTGGTGCCGCCGCAGCCAACCAGCGCTCGAGAGCTCGGGAACGGGTCTGGCTGCACGGCCAATGGGGGCGCGCGCCGGGGCGGCGCGAGGCGCGGAGCGGGGGGGGGACGGAACGACGGGGGCGGGCGGGGACAAGATGGCGGCAGCGGCGGCGGCGGCGCGCGCGCGGCGGGGCGGGCGGTAACGGGGCGGCGCGACCGGGACGAGGAACGGGACCGGGGCTGGGAGAGCGCCGGGGGGCAGCGGCCGAGGGGCGGCCCCTAAACTTGGGGGGACGCGGGAGGCCGCGGCTCGGCGGGGCGGAGCGCGGCGCCGGGGCCCGGCCCGGCTCCCCCGCCCGGTGCCGGGGAGGGGGGACTCGGCCGCCCACCCCCCTCCCCCAGTTCACCGTTCGGGCCGGCGGGAG